TCTTGATGGATTTATTTATCAGTTACTAATAAATATTAAAAATTTTATTTGCATCCATTTCTTCACTACACGTTTAGTAACCAGCACATATCAAGGTCATGTACACCCAATAATTCCATACTTGCTATAACCATTTCATAAAGATATTGTGTAAGATGCGTGGTTTTACCTGAATTTGTTTCTCCAACAATAACAATAAATAGATTAATCTTAGAGATTAAGGTATGTTACTATTATTTATTTATTTATATGATTTGTCTATTTGTTTATATGTCCATCTAATAATTTTAAAAGTTCTTCATGAGCTGCAAAAGCTGGTAAAATTCTCTGTTTTTGATCTTGCTTTCAAATGTGATGCAAATTGAGAATCACCCAATTTCATTATTTTGTGCTATTTAAAATTTTTTTAAGAAAATATATTATCATATATTACAAGTAATAAATGTCGCACTACGTTAATAATAATAACAACAACAAAATTTTCTCCATTTTCACTCTTTTTTTTTAAAAATATATATATTAATATATATATATATATTATAAGTTTTTTTTTAATTATAAAAAGCAATGGCCTATTGTCAAGCTTTTCAAAAGTGTGCTAGATTAGCATGTTTAAAATTAAGGCCAACATGCTCAACTTTATGTTTGCCCTCCATAACAAAACTGTTATGTTACTTTACCATTATACCCGTTATAATTTTTTTTTGCTACTCAATTTTAGAAAAGTATTTTGATAAATTATCACTTACTACTGAACCTCCTTACCATCAATATACTACAGGTTTGTTATTTTTACTTTTAATCTATCTATATACATACATGCATGTTTAATTTTAACTTAATGATAACTAGAACCAGATGATTTGTTTGGAAGAGTCAATCCTACTACTCCTATGTTGAGCGAGCATACATATTTACAATTATTGGACTTAAACTCTAGATGGAAACCTAGTCTACCCTCAAATTTAACCGTAGTTTCTATAATTAAAAATAATGACAATGTTGAATTACAATTGAATTCTATATTTAGTCAAACAATTATGCCACAAGGCATGATTATAATTGCCTCTAAAAACACAGCTAAAAAAGTCAAACATGTCATTAAAGAGAATGATAAATACAGTGGCTTTGATGTATGGATACATGTTATGGAAACAAACAAATTTAAAATCATTGGTTGGTTAGAAGTTGCGCAAGCTGTAAAAACTTCACACATTCTTTTTTTGGATTCTGGAGTGGTACTGGGTAAAAAATTTATTCAAAACATGGTTCA